AAAGTCCAACTTCTCAAACTGCTTGGCAGTTCCTAAATCTGGACCCATCTATTACTCCTTTTTCTAAATATTTTATCAGTAAGAACTAAAAAACATTTATTTAAAATCCGAAAAAGTAGGTAAAGGGTGCAAGAAAAATACAAGAATTGTACACAAGGGCCAAAAGATTTTTATTAAAAATAGGAAAATTTCTTAAACTACCCCTACTGTTTAGCTAATTGACAAACTGTACCTTACTGTTTAACTATTGTCTTGCACCACCCCTACTGTTTCTGACAATTGTCATGGCCGTTAAATTCTAACAGAAAGGATGAAAAGTCAGTTTTATCCTTCCATTAAATTCCATCCATCTTTGCTCAAGCGTTGGCACCTCTTTCCTGGTTCCAAACCTGTCATCATCCCTGTGAACTCTTGCTTTTCTTACCCGGGTTCCTTGCAGATTTGGTGCTGGGATCCCTGTGAATTCTTGCTTTTCTGAAAAGCAAGATTAAAGACTTTTTTTTATCAATAACAGTGAATTTTATCAAGGATTGAGAAATTATGTAACAAATGAGGAGCTAAAAAATCTTAACTCCCTAATAAACCAATGTACACCCAAACCGTAAAGCAATTACAAAACAGCCCGAAAAATAAAGTTTCTGTTCACCCCTTGACTAGCTAAACCATCTGCCAATGAATTTGCACTTCTCTTTACCCATGTACAACGAACTTCAATGTCCTTAGTCAGCCACTTAAATTTCCTCTTTTCATTGCTGTAATTCCAGAGCTTAGAATTGTCCTCTTTTATCCAGCTCACCACAATTTCAGAATCACCTTCTATGGTCAATTTATTAATATGCATGTCCTTAACCCTTTTTACCCTTTCAAGAGCTCCTAGTATCTCAGCCCTCAAGGAATCTCCCACCCCAATTGGACCAGAATACATAGCTAACAGATTCCCTTTTTTATCTCTTATCACTCCCCCTATTCCAGAGGGCCCTGGATTGCCCATATTGCTGCCATCAAAGTTCAGTTTGGCAAAGCTGTGAGGTGGAGGGGTCCAGCAAGAGCTTAGCAAGATTAAAGACTTAACTAACAACAAATCTCGACAAATCCGAGTTTCAACCACAAAACATCAACTCAAATACAGAAACCAATCCAATTACAAAAATTTACCTTCTGTGAAGAATCCAGCACATGGAAACAACACCTTCATAGATTTCCGAGAACAAATTGAATGTTATGTCGGTAACCTTCCGGCATCCATTCGTTGTCCCTTTGACGGGAATATTCGACAAAGAATAGAGTGATGAGAGCGGCATAGAGGAGCAGCAGTAATAACCGATTTTTTCAATTGGGCCCTCTCCACCATGGGGGACTCACCTCTTTCTATCGGGGGTGATGGAAGCAGTGTTAGCTCTTCAAACAGACTGCATTTCGATCTCAATTTGCCGCCTCCTAAGTCTGAGCCGGCCCCTCTGTTGGACCCACAGGCAGTAGAGGAGGAGAATCTTCGTCTAGGCTGGGATAACACCGAGCTCACTAACATGTGAAATGCGGAGCTAAGGCAGATTCAAAGAGGTGGGGTAGAGGCTCCAAGAAGCGGAGCAGAGGCTCCATCCTTATAGACTTCTCCGAGTTAATCACACCTGATCTGATCTCAGAGTTAATCAATATATGGTGTTTAGTGTTCTTGAAGGATCACATCAGAATCCTTGAGTTCATGATAATGGAAATTAGAGATTATGGATTGCAATTGCAAAACCCAAACAGTTGAGATTAAAGATGAGTTGAATTGAGTTGATTCACATGCAACTACAAACAATTAATTGATCAATATGAAATGTCAGAGCTCATTGTAAGTACCGGTTGCCAGAGATTAACTCTGAGCTCAAGGCTCCATCCTTTTGGGTTTCTCGATGTTCTTATAGATCAACCCAAGTACGTCTTTCAACAGGTGGAATGTTAGGCCAACTTCGTGCAAGTGACCATCGATGGCTCCATGAGAATTGATAAGAATGGTCTAGGCCGCTGACACAAGATGGAACAAAGGACATTCGATGGATGTATCAGGGTAAGCTCCGACGATCACGGTTGCTGCTCCACCAAAAAGAGCCTGACCCACAAGAGAATCCAAGTGGGTGTCAGAGGGTCCCTAGAAAGTGATAGTGGTGATTTCAGAGAAAATGACAAGGACACACGCGTCGGCGTTGTTCTCAGCGAGGTGAAGCACAATGCCACCGGTGAAGTAGCCTTATTGGTACATCATGAATCGTTTGATGAAGGGGCGGAGGCTGAGGAGTTTGGTGAGTTGGTAGCCAGCACCAGGCATGTCTACACTGGAGGTGGTACAGAAGATGGATCCTTCTAGCAATGCCACGGTCTTGTGAAGATGGATGAACTCAAGCTCTTCCAAGCCAACACCAGAATCCAGTAGACCTGATATCAACAACCTGCCCAGCAACCAGCCCCTCTGACCAATCACTCTTGCTAGTTCCCTGACCACACGAATGATCTTTGAAGGCAGAACCCCAATGGTTGTCGTGGTGATGTGCTTGAATATGAAGGCTAGAAGAGGAGGATGAAGAAGATGATAAGAAATGGCCTGAGGGGAAAAGACGAACAGGGTAATATTGGGTTTTAAAAGAATTATGTGTCACATAGTGTCACATGTGTACGGGTTTTGACGGAATATCAATGGACCATAATGACGGGTAGAGCTAGTCAATTGTCAGAAACAGTAGGGTGGTGCAAGACAATAGTTAATCAGTAAGGATACAGTTTGTCAATTAGCTAAGCAGTAGGGGTAGTTCAAGAAATTTGCCTTATAAATAAAGAAAAATGAGATCCTCCCACTTCTTCGTCTTCCTCTTCCCCTTCCTCCTCCTTCCTCCTCTTAAGGAGGATTATACCTCCTTATGTTCAGAAGGCTTATGCTCTTACATTCAGGACTACGCCTCACACCTCTAGGTAGTGTCATGCCTCCGTGTTTTAAAACATTAACTTGAGCCTCTGAAGAGTCATTTTCTGAGAACTCAAAGGTCCATTCAGTGTACTAAAAGAAATTCCAACCCAGTCTTGACTAAAGAGTAACCCAACAACAGCTCTCCAATAAATCCAACCAATCACCCCCAATCTGGATACAGTATCAGCCAAAGCATAAATTAAATTCTTTAAGCAAGTATATGAGATGTTCACCCTAGATGCAAGAACTTTAGCTTCTCTAAAGAAATGCCTCATCTTCCAAGGTCCCTTAGTCCATGTGAAATAAGTTTTCCCAGATGCTTAATAATTTCATCAGATACTATTTAAGGTGCATATGACATAATTATGATAACTATCTCTTCTTCCAAGTCTCCCTATAGTATCAAGTACTAACATATATGGTTTAATCCCTTAAATCTTTATCTTCTATTTGATATTCTCATTTGATTGCCTAGCCTAAACCTCCTACTTTGGAGATATGTGACTTGTAATCTCCCTCTGTGATCCAATCACCATTTATTTAAACCTAGAGCAGTGTTTTAAGACAACCAAATGCATACTACTTTTCTTTACACAGGTTCAATCACATACTGAGATTAGATCAAATCTGAATCTTCTTGCACAAGGCTTTTTTGTTTCTAGGGGCCTTCATTTACTTCTCGGACTTTGTTGCTCTTCTCTCCCATTTGATATATTCCAAATTTCCAATACATTTCCACTGTATTTTTCCCTTACTTTCTCATATGAGTCCTTTTATTCATAATGCACAAGATATATACTTGTGACAACCTCCAAAAGAAGCTTCAAGACAGGGTATACATCTATCCAAATGTTTGCATCATGTGCTATAGTGAAGGTGAATCAATAGAACATCTCCTAGTCATTTGTAAAGTGGCAAAAAGTCTGTGGCAATACTTCCTTTTGCAAGGAGCAGACTTAGCTGGACTCCCCAAAATTTTGTAGAAGAGGTCATTTACTCTTGGCAAAGGCTGAAGATCAAAATGGGCAAGAGAGGAAGATGTTTTTGGAAAGTGGTTATCCATGCTGTCATTTGGAATATTAAGGAAGAAAGAAATAGGATAATTTTTGAAGAGAAATATTCTTCCTTGGAGACTCTAAGAGGTCAAGTCCTAGCTAATCTTAATAGCTGGATGGTGAATGGTAAAGTCTTTGCTGGTTTCAATCTGGGTGACTTGCAAAGAAATTGGTGATTTAATTTTGACTTCCCTGTTTCATCCTCAACCTCCTATTACAATCATCCCAAGACAAGAAAGTGAGTATATCATGAACTTTGGTGGAAGTTTCAGGAAGACTATGGAGGGTTCACCCAAAGCTGCAATTGGAGGCCTTTTGTGCAGATAGAATGGTAACTTGGCTTGGGTTCTTAGTGGTCCTTACAAGGAAGATAACACAACGGAAGCAGAGACTCGAGTCCTCCTTGAAGGCCTCAGATTTGCCAAGTTGCGGTAGTTTAGATCCACTGCAGAGGAAGGGGACTCAAGGAATGTCATAAATTGGGCATCTGGACATATTCCCGATCCTTGGAAGCTCTCTCGCCTTCTGTTAGAAATTCGTGAGATTTCCCTCTTGTTTGCAGTGCAGTTTCAGATGGATTCCTAGAGAGTTAAACCATTTGGCAGATAACCTAGCAAAATCTGGGTTGGGAAGGGACTTTTTGTATAGCTCAAATACTTCACCAAATATTTAGTGGCCTTTGTTTTTGTTTTCTTTGTTGAGAAGGCCATGTACATCCCTCCCTTTCTTTTAATGAAATCAGTTATCTTTTCTCAAAAAACAATAAATACAAATATAATTCACTTTTGCACATCCCAATTATTACAAAAACCATATTTGCATCAGAAGGAACCATATTTTTTCATGCTGATTAATCCAAAATGTAAACCAATTCTCAGAATCATTATCTGTATGTCCCTCCAGTATACTTGACAATTAAAAATAAACTTCTTATCTGATAAATCAAAAAAATATAAGAAATGGATACTTGATTTTTTTCTAATTGAGAAAAAAATGAATACCTGATAAAGGCAGTAAGAGATTAATAATGCAACGGAAACAATGAATGCAATCAGGACTGCTAAGTGTCTTCCAGAAGATGAATGCAAGATTTGTGGTAGTTGTACAATGATAAATGGGATAACAGATATAACCATGATTCTTGCAGCATAGCTAGTCCATATATCAGTACTAATACCAGATCCTGCAAAGATGGATAAATTATAAATTGTGGGTTATGTTGTTTCTAGATAAAAAGGCAGGATTTAGCAGTTGCAAAATGGTTTGCTGCTATAGATGTTGATTGTAAACACCAATTTCACTCTATGAAGGTTCTCATAAAAAAAAGGACAGTTCAATAGAAATGTTTTAAGAAACAATTCAGATAATCAGTACAAGGACAATTACAAATTATAGTACAATAGTTATGAGGTTTCATATAACTTGGCTTTGGGAAAAAGAAATCTTTAAAGTGAAAGTCAAATGCAAAGTTGCAAACAAGGGGTTAATAGGGTTCAATTGTTTTGGGCCTTTTTGTAATTTATTGTTTATCCTCTGTAAGAGGATGCACCTCCCACCTCTCCATGGGTGTCTTGTAATGTTTGCTAATTATAGCTATTTTAATAAGATTTGAAGTTTAATTATCAAAAAATAAGTTAAAGCAAGATCAGAAAGAAATGTGCTTTGTGTTGCATTTTTATAAGCAACAGTAATGAAACAATGATTCATTGCTTGTAAGAAAAAAAATTACATCCTGTCCAGAGTTTTTGATAGGCAGATAGAAGAAATCATCAAGGAGCCGTTGCTTGATGCAATGGTAAAATCACAGGCTGACATGTGTGAGAGTGCAGGTTTGAGTTTGAGAGCAGCCACTTTGTCCAAAAAAGTTTCCAAGGTTAGGTCTGTATCCAGTCTATCCCTCAGATGGCCCAAACTAGCTGGAACCAAACATTGGGTGATGGCCTTGATACAAAGAAAACATTAATAATGCTGAGTTCAGTTGCTGAAATTGAGTTCTATTATTCATGCATTGGTCCAAGCATTCCCCAAACAAGATTTTCCCTTGTTACTCCTAATTTACCTAAGGAGTCAAGTCAGTCAGCTAGACTGTTGATTGATTAGGGTGTCCACTTGAACGATGAGTTCAGATTGGGAGCTAAAGTTCTAGCTTCTCTATCTAGAAACCTTAAGTGTCCAAGGTATTTAACCAATTCTTTGTGTTGCATTTAACTCATGCTTTACCTACAACACCATGGATTTTTCTGCTGAGTAGGGGTTGCAACTTGGGCCAGGTTAACCTGAACCCATCCCAAAAGAGTTGGGTCAGGTTGAAATTTGGGTTGGGGTTAGGGTTGGAAAATATGAAACTGACTTAACTTTTGGTTGTTTTAGAGTTGAGGCCTTGGGCAACATGACTCAACCTTAACCCAACATTTCTCCATATTTGTATAAATAAACATTATATGAAAATGTTTTGTTTTTTATATCTTTTGAAGGGCTACACAACCAGGGGCGGGGGAGTAACCCATCCCCCAACCCATAACCCCCCCAATCCAGGTGCAGGCGGGATTCGATCCCAAGTCTCCACTACGACCAGCAAGAGACCTTACCAACCACCTACTTGGCACCTATCCATATGAAAGTACATGTATATGTATGCATGCATGTCCATGTGTACGTATGTTTATATGCAACCATGCTTGTATGTATCCAAATATGTGTACCAACAATTTTAAGATAAAAAGCTTTCTAGTATAATATAAGTATAATATTCCTGAAGCACCATAACTTTGGCTTTGTACATACTACATATAATAATGATAAAGTCAATTAACCTTCATTCTCAAGTCTAATATCTATACTACTACTAAAAGTGTGAATGGGAGTGTAGAACTTATGTTTGACTAAAATACCCCAATTTTTGAATTTGGTCCCTCTTTCATTGTAAGGGCAGAAATTTAATTTGAACAACCACTTTTGTCCTCATTCAAATCCCTCTCATTAAGTCTCATATTTAAGGTATTAACTCCCATTAAATTCATTGAATCCTATTCTTGACTAGAATACCCATATTTCTAATTTAGTCTCTCTAATTGTGAGGGCACAAAATGTAATTTGAACTATTGGATTTCTCCTCATTCAATTCCCTCTCGTTAACTCTTATATTTATGGTATTAACTCCCATTCTTTTATTGAATCTTGTATTAATTGACCATATTAAAAAAAATAGGTTAAGAGTGTTTCCCCCCCTTCTTTGTACTAAATTTCTTCTTTTAATAAACTTGGTTCTGGTATTGATAAAAAAAACCATATTAAAACATAGGTCTGACAAAGAATAATTGTTTTTGTTGATGATAGAAATAAAATACAAATTTAAAATCAACACAAAAATGAAGTTGTTTTCCTGTTTGGTGGCGAGTCAACAATTCAACCTTTTGGGTCAAATGTGTAAACCCTTGTCGTCTTTATTAAATAATAATAATAACAATAATACTAATAACAATAATAATAATAATAATAATTATTAATAATAAAGATGAAAACACACAAAAGTTATAAAAATACAAAAAAGAAAATTGTAGGAAACATTTGGGCACATCTCCAATATGGTATATTCATCATATAAACAAAAATAAGTGTGATAAATAAGAATAATTTTTATAAACATAGAAATATAAAAAAATGTAGAAAACTTTTGAAAACATATTATTTACTATCATCATCATCAAAAATTGTCACATGCACACTTACTAGTTTTAGTAAAAAGAATTGAAGAAATCAAGCCCAATCTGAACCAAATCCAAAGTCATTGGGTTCAATTAGGGTTAAGGTTGACCTCAATCGGATCTAACCCAGTTGAACATGAAAGTGAGTTCTTGCATTATGCATTCTATTTAGCAAATTGAGCAATACGGTTCTTCTGCAAACTGAGGTATTGAAGTGCCTCATGAACAGAACATAATACAGACTCTCAGTGGATTAGATTAACCCTACAGGTCAATCCTGCATCCAAGCCATTAAGGTGCATGCAGTAAGTAATTTTGTTGATGCCAAACTGTCATATGTTGATGTCAAACTGTTATACAAACAAATGTTAATATTTAAGTACTAAAAATGTAAATTGTATTCCAGAATTTCATCTTGTCATTTTTTCATTTCTTTTCTTTTCAAGTATCTATGTTTTATTAACATATATCTGATTTACAGAAGTAACACAAAAGGCTTTCAAATGCACTAGAATATGCACAAACAGAACTTACAAAAGCATACAGCAATTATTATAAATCTCATGTTCAAAGCCCCCAACCAGCTGGTTGGTAAGGTCTCCTGCTGATCGTAGCAGAGACTTGGGATCGAATCCCGCCTGCTCCTGGGTTGGGGGATGGACAACCCCTGTTGTGTAGCCCTTCAAAAGAAATAAAAAAAAAAGCCCCCTAGTCAACCCATCAATTAAATAATTACACTACCTTAATTTACATTTGAGATGAGAAAATTTGGGAGGCATGGAGTCTCTTTTTACTATTCATAGTATCACGAGTCGACATTACATAACCAGAATACCTCATGGTTATGCAACCTCAATTACACATATTTCAACAATAGGTCACACTACACAAGGAACTGCTAGCTTCTGTTACCCCTAACTATCAATGTCAGACCAACTTACAATATTAAAGTTAAAATGCATTCAATCTTTGAAGGCAATAGCCATTTATCATTTCAAATTCTCAGGCCAGTTCATAATGTCATGACTTGCACAAAATTTGACATAGGCTGTCCCACTGTGATCACAATAGGTTTACTAAGCTCCATTTTTGTAGCCATAGTTGTTAAGGCACCGAGATGAAGCTACGCAACAGGGGAACTAGGCAACCCCTAAGCAATGGATTTTTTGAAAGTAAAAAACCTAAATCCTAGGATAATTTGCTAGGGTTCATAACAACCAAGCAATCATCTTTCACCAATAATTACCAATAATCTTCATCAAATAAATATCAACATCATATCAAAACATAGAAATTAACATATTCATGAGAAGAAAAAGAAGAAAGAAAAGAAAACACTGTCATGGAGCCCCTAATTTGTCCATTCAAGAAGAGGAAGGTAATCATAGAAAAAGGAAAGAGAAAAACAGAGAAAATAAAAATGAAAAGGGGTGGAGCCCCTATTTTAGTCCCAGAAAAAAGAAGCAAATAATGGGGCAGAAGAAGGAGGATAGGATAAAAATCTTCAAGTACTTGCTTATTGGTTCAGATAAGTTTTCAAGGGTTCAACACAGCATCCACTGACTTGTGTGTTGATCAAAGCCTCACAAATAAGAAAAATAGTAAAAATAAAGGAAAAAGAAGGAAATAGTATATTTTTTTAAAATATAATGTATGAAAATATTATAAACCAACAAATTGAATAAAATGGTGTAATAATGTCTATTGTAATATTATAATCTCACAAAGTAAAATATATAAAAATATTATATGGCATCTTATACAAAAACAACCAGGCACTTGGGCAAGCTAAAAGAAAGCGCCTGGCAAAGCAACAATGATAGCTGTATCTCTAGAGGCAAGTTCGAGACAAACATGAAGCATATAAATATAAGTTGGCAAAGCATGCTTAATGCATGCAAATTGGAAGGGAAGTTCTGTTTTCAGCATTATCCAACTAACTAGAATATATTCTTCTTAATGGTGGCAATAACTTGCTCAAAAAAAGATAATGCAGGAGCCTACCAACTAAGCTTAGTCTTTTTGTATCTTGTGAATCTACTGCAATTGATTCCTCAATATCACATTTACCAACAACAACACAAGATCCCCAAAGTAATGTCAGAAGCATGACAGTTGATCCAGCGAGTAAGCCCATTCCAACCAAAACCTGACTCTGAGCAGTTTCTTTACTTCCAGAGAGTCCGGAAACTGTGGAAACACAAGAAAGTAATAAGAATCAATCCAAAAAGCCAAGATTAGATGCATGATTAGAATTGGTTCCACAATAACACCTTAACTGGAATAAAAAACATGGCATAGAAAAGTAAAACGTCTTTACATATAATATAATATTGGAGAAAAGGGATACTTCAATAATATGGAATGGAATGAACTCAATAGAAAATCAATAGGTGGAAAAAAATTAGTATGTAGGTAAGAAAACCCTTGAAGTGGAATTGGCATCAGTACCTGCATCAAGAGGAAACATATTCTAGCACTTCAGTAGACACTAATATTTATCCACAACATCCTTAAATCTTGGATACTACTGCTGGCCTAGAGGAATGAAGTAATTTTTACCAAGTTACATGCAAGAAAGGAGGCAAGTTAAATGGAACTCAAGATATAAAGCAATTGTTTAACATGGAGGTAAAATCTCAGGCTGATAATCATGAAAAACAGGTTTCAGTCTGAGAGTTGTCCCAACATTCTAAAAATGATTGACATTAGGTCTTTATCCAGTCTAACCATCCAAGAAACAGGATTAATAGGATCAGCATTGGAAAGGGACATTTTTTCACTCCCAATGAAAGAGAAATCTTGAAGTTGGATTTAAGTATATTTGTTGATGTGCTGGGCTTGGGTTGAGCTTTTGCCAAATTTGAATGGGCCCGGCCTGAATCCCAAGCCCAAAGCAGTGTAAAATGTTAATGGAACAAGCCTGAAGACCAGCTTGTGAACAGGCCTAGATGTAATGCCCATAGTCATCAGGGGGCATCAATACAAGGAGGCATTTTCTGAGGAAAATCTTTGCATCCTATGGTGTTTGTATGGTGTTTGTATACATGTTAGGCAAGGAAAAGGGTAAGATGATTACTGTACCATATATTGTATATTATTGCATTTTATATTTTTATCTATGCTCTACAATAAATAACATTACTTATACTAGTATGCTTTTCATTAAAAAGACTTTACAACATGTTCACCACATGGGGTGTGTGTGTTTATCAGAAATCTCAGTGGAACATAAATTCCCTTGATCATGTTACCTACCTGAAAATAGAGTGTTGTTCAATTTTCAAAGAAACTCTAAGAATATCAAGCAAACTAGAACAAGGTAAAGAAACAAGTACACGTAAGAATTTCCAAGTAACTAGAGGAAAAATGAGTGTTAAACTAAGTGTACAATTCAAACTTAAGGCAGCAGGCCAATCAAGAAGTATAATAAAAAAATTAGCAAACAACTCTATATTCTGGGCTATTTACTCTACATCAAGTTGAGATCATCACGAATTATTCATGCTATGGCCATAAAAGGCCAAGTTGCTGCATCGACTACATGTAAAAAAAAACGCATCCCTTCAAGGAGATCTACATTAGAAGGTAACATATTATTACAATCATAGCAAAACAATGAGGACTTAACAAAAGGAGAAAAAGAAATCTAGATCGATAGTCAAATTCAAGAAGTGAAAAAAAAACTCCTAAAATGAGAGCATATAAGTTTGTAATACAAATATAAGCAGGTTAGTGACAGGCCCTGTTTACTCAATAAAATGCGTAGTTGGTTAATCTTAGACAAAATTTTCCGGAAATTAACTAAACAGTCGCTCTCGTTAGAAAAAAAAAAAGGAAAGAAAAAAAAAAACAAGATACAGAGAGATAAATTAATAGCGAAATGAATTGATAGAGGTTTACCAAGGATGAGCATGGCATCTGGAAGAGCACCAAGAATAGGAAGGAAAAGACCACCAATGAGACCAGGGCCAAGGATCGCGAGCAGAAGCTCACTTCCATCTGAAAGGTAACTCGCTGCAAGGAACATCAAGTATCCGTATACAATGATGAGGAAGAGATTTCCAACAACCGTAGTGGTGCAGGGGAGGAAACCGTACGTATTCTCACAGCTCTCGGACGCACGAAGCCTCTTGATAAGTAGGAGCGGAGATTTTGTCTGGGCATTATTGATCCCATCGGAAACCAGATCAGAATGCGAGCTCTCTGTAATAAATCGACTCCAGCCGACGCCGGCGATTGCCAGAATGACAATGAAAACGAACACAGAGTAAAGGAAACGTTTCTTCGCCATTAGAAAATAAAACCGCTACTGTTCGTCTGTTCGTGCTCTGCAGTTTCTTCACTCACAGTCTTTCACAGGCACTAATGAAGATAAGAGGGAAGTATGCAGGACTCAAAATGAGAACACTGGAGAGAATTTTCACTGCCCACGGGTTTTCCGACTTTTCATTTCCTAGGATTATCGATTACGGAAAAACTAATCTTAAAAAAGCTCTGATTTGACATCGGGGAATCAACTCAACTATCAGGCATGGAAAAACGGCACCGGTGGTCGGTACTCGGTAGTTACTTTCAATGGAGAAGCTTTATTAATTGTTAATTGCAATTAATTTCGGGTCAACCCGATATCTTTCCGGGTCCTGGTCCAGCTGGTTCACGGTCACGGCCTTTGGTGTTATTGCTCTGGCCCCCCTTGGATCGGATGAAGCAATGCGAAGGTGGGGCAACAGTAAAAAATGGGTTATGGATGGCCGTGACGCATTTATCTCTGGCTCCTTTTAATTAGGACGCAAGCGCCGTTGTTCAACTAACGGACACGTACTCACGTTAACGTCAGTTTGAGGAAAAATTTGCAGAAGGGAAAATTCCCAATTATTACCTACGTGGCTACGTCTAGTGTCGTTTTGGTCCCTAAATTTTAAAATTCGACAATTCAGTACAAAAATTTTTTAAATGTGATACTTCAGTACTTGCCGTTAACCGGTGATTAATCAAGTAAGATTTAATTGAATGCTTTTGACCGTTCATCAAGCTGTCGAACCAATAAAAAGATTCCACGTCAGTAATAAAATACATGGGGCCCGCATCTTTTATAGTGGGGCCCATGAATTAATTATTGGCATAGAACCTCATTATTAGTTCCACAACATGTTGAAAAACTAAAGCATTTAATTAATCCAAATTCCTATTAATGAACTACTGAGTGACTTTAAAAAGACACAAATACCCTTTGAGTGTTATTTAAATTTCTTTATCAATTATCTAATCATTAACAAAAAAATTATTAATAGTCCAAAAGCATTTGTCTCTTCTATTCAAGAAAGTTGGGTCACTAGAATGCCCAATCAAACGTAACCCCAATTTTTTTGAATGAAAGAAGCAAGGATTTGGGACCACTAAATTTTTGTCAACATTTAGATGGTTGATAAAGAAAATTAAATGACACTCGAAGAGCATTTGTGTCATTTTTAAATGTCACTCAACGACAGGTTAAATGCTGATAAATAATAAGTACTGGATTGTTATATTTTGAAAGTTTGAGTATTGAATTGTCGTATTTTAAAGTTTAGGGACCAAAGTGACACTAGTCACAAAGTACAAGGCACTAATCAAGAATTTTCCCTTTAATATAAACCAGTTATGTATCCATCAATAGCAAACATTGAAGGATGCTTGCGTACAACTTCATGGGAGGTTCAGCCCTCCGGTATGAGTTTGGATTACTTGCCAACAAAACATGTCCCAACCCTCTACCAACACAATCTAACACTGCACATCTCATATATGGTAGGTCCCACTTTTATGGTGGGTCCCAGTCTCATAATGAAATGTGTGGTCTTAGATCAAGTTGGTAGAGGGTTGGAACATGTTTTGTTGGCATAAGATTTCAGTTGTCTTTGGTTTCATGGGCGTTTATCGAAAGAAAGCCACTACATCAACACCACATAGGCCCTGGCGTTTATTGCACATGAAACAATTTGAAACAATTATTTGGTTTTCTTACTTATCAAATAAATGGTAGAAAATTAAAATGCTTTGATTTTCATGCATGGGACATTTGAGAAAAATGTCAAATTTTTGTTTTCCCCCAATGCCTCATCGGTTCTTGAAACCAAATGCTGATGTAATACACTTTGATGGATATTATTTTAAGGTAAAAACTAAAAAACATTTAAAGTGTTACACAACCAAATAACAAAAATAGGAAATGTTTAAAATGAAAAATATAAATAAACGACATAGTTCATCTCCTTCGATATAAAATCACTCTGGCTAACACCGACAAATTCAAAGAAACTATCTACATACCTACATAGTATTATTATGAAGGGGAGATATTTCTGATGTACGGAGGTAATGTATTGTACCCTTGTGGGTAAACGCGGACAGAGTTATTGTGGGGAAGAGATCCGGAGTCTGTAGAAGGTCAAGGAAACCAGATTGTAAATCGAAAACCGAGTGTAAGGGCCCGTACCGGTTGAATGGAGCTGGAGGAAAGAAACGGTTTAGCGGGCCCCGGTTGTCGGTACTGAATAGTAAATCGTCAACTGGTAGTTGAATAATTCAATGGGTCGGGTCCCCATTCTACTTTTTTGGATGAAAGATGGGTCCCATTCTATCATCCAATTAATGCTCGGTCAGTCGGTTGCTCACGAGTCACGACATATTCACTAACCCAGTTTCCATTATTCCATCTAATCTCCGCGATCACTACACGTGAGACCCACGCACTCTACTCGGTCTCAGAAAAGAAGTAAGAACCTAAATCCGCGTGCTTGAAGCCAAATGACCACTTTGATTTGCATTTTTCCTCTTTTTTGCTTTCGCAGACAGCGCCCGGCGGTCTTGGCCCATTGAACTGGTCTTCTGCTTTATTTTCGCCGGCTTAGTGGTTCAACTTCAACGTTCAGAAAGAACCAATTAAAGAATTTGATCAATCTAGAAATTTGAAAGTAGAAAGTGGAAAGTTTAACCTACCCTGGATCAGTGGGTCGCCCATGTTTAAGAGAATACCATGAAATTTGAAAAATATCTCATGTCTCATGATGGCCTAACTGGACCTGAAAAATAAGAAACTAGAACTTGCAGAGTATGTAGTCTGAGCCAGTGATGGAGCCCACGAAATTGATCCGGTTGGAAGGTTGCAATTTTTAAATCTCTCTTCCCTGTCCATGTGTGATGGTCTCTTTCCTTGGTGTCGTTTGTATTGCACAATTACAGAAAGGACTCCTGCTCACACTACAATAGGTTTTCTTCGGCCCAATGATCTAAAATATAGTGGATTAAAGGGGCCACAACTGGATTCATCATTCTGCCAATCCGTTGAAAGTTGCAACGTGGCAACTTTGGCGGATACCTTTGCATTTTTAAATGAAAATTTAGCAAACCACAAATTTGGTGAGCGGAAAGTTGTGTAAATTTTGTATTAGATAGGAGTATAAATCATAATTAGGGAAAAATAAATGCAAAATAGAAGCATGTACAAAATCTGGTTCAGAATTGCATTGCACTTCTATGATTTGTATCCAAAAGTCCATGTGCCGACATGTTCCATTAACTAAAAGAGACGATTGAAACGCCAATGCTGCCTCGTTTACCCACAAAAATGGAGAAAAACATTGCAATTTGCACTCTTCAATGACTAGCACAATTATTAAATCATACATACACGTTTGAATGTACATAGGATGCATGCTGAATGCAGATAGTGGAAAGCATAGATGTTAGTAGATTTCAAGTTGGAAACGAAAAATATATATTAATAAATAACAAAAAAAGAAGAAAGGGTGGTTGAATGAGGAACTAGCACGGTAGCACCTTTGGATCAATCATATCCACCATGATAACGTATTATTTTAGATAATACTTTGACTGTTGGGATCAGTTTTGGGCATGATACATCAGAGTCGGGATCTACCAACAAAACACGTTCCATCGAATACCGAGACCGAATCAACTCCCACAACGTCCTACAGTACATCCCCGCCATGTATTATGAACATGTTCCGATTCCGATGATGATATCATTATTTCAGATATTATCATCGGGAGATATTCCAAATGACCTGCTATATAAAGATGTAAGGTGTTAGACCATGTTGGTAGGGGATCCAGAGTTCCAGACTCCATGCAGTATAAATAAAAAATCTGCATTGAGCAAATCCATATTTTTCAAAAGATATATTGAGGGCAATTACTATTTTACCCACACCCAAGCTAAAGTTTTTTATTAAGTTATGTATTGATAAGGGACAAGCTGTCATTATTGACCAATAGCCAATTGACCAACAAGTGGGGAAAAAATTAATCAAAAGAGATCTAATAGGTTGTATCTAGTGTCTAGTTGTCTAGGGATAACTAAAAGATAGCATATAACGGTTTAATTATATATTATTATTTTATATATGTAATATAATTATATATATAAGACTATGCTCGATTATATAAAATTTGTGATTAGTACATTTAACATTTAACATTTTCTCTTAAATAAAATATTTGATACTTTCTATTTATATAAACTTATTATATAAGTTAATAGGTAAATAATTCTTTTCTTTGTTTTAAGCACATTCAGTTAGAAATTGGCTAAATTCAAAACCGATTCGAGTTTAGCAATTCAGGTTTCAAATTCAGATCTAACATCTTGGTAATCCAATTGGATTTGGATTTAGCAGATCTGATCGAAATCCGATTGGCTATAACCCTATTCGTTGGGATACTACTAGTGGGATTCATTGTTGGATGAATTGATATTTGTTTCTCACACCGATTTTACGGTCACATTTCACTCTATATTGAGATCATCTCCCCATGGATAATACCATTTAAGTATGGAAGACATCTCCGATATACAACTGGGACATGCTGTTTAATTAGTGTGAGGAGCGCTATGTGACAGATCCAGATCCTTGTTGGATCCTTAATGGACCTTTTGATGTGTGTAAATAGAGCACAACGCAGTCTCGGTATCTGGATCTGTTGCCCATACTATACCATAGGACATAACAGTTGTACATCTAGATTCAGTATTCATCAATGACAACATGCATACAAATGCAAAATATATTTGTTAATGTGCGGCTGTAGCATCCAGTGGATAGCAGATTCAATTACAATCTAGTGTATCAACAGACCTATTAGGTCTTTACTATAATTGGGGTGTTCAAATTAGTTTTGATTCAAACTGGGTCCAATCCAAACCTAGTCTATTGATACCTTTCTTCTTTTCTTTTGTTAATAAGACTAAATATTGGTTTAATCTGATCCATTCTAATATAAATTCGTTATAGATAGATCAGATCTAATTCAATAAATACTTTGGACCATTAAATTTAGACTGGTCCAATTAAAGATGTTTTATTAGATCATTCAACCTGTTCAAGTTGGTTTTTGATGGTGTGTGATCTGGTCAAGAAGAAGAAGGATCACCGGGGAGCTCTCCTAGTGGGAATAC